AAACCTCTAAAGTAAGTAACATCTGATTGAAAATTAAGCCATTTTGTTTTCATGAAGGCTGTGTCAGTCACAGCCAAGAGAGGTGTGGCTAGGGCTGCATAAACAGTGATTTAACTCCTAAATGGTAGAGAATTGAGCAGTGAGATACGAAGAATTATCTACACACAAAAGCTGCCTCATTAAGCTAAAGGTGTTATGGTGACCATAGTGTCCCTTTAATTATAGCCTCTGTGTAATAACTGATGTATTGCACAAAGTGTGATTGTATTGAGCTTTATTTCTGTTATTCTCACCTTTTTTGCCATCTCCTGATGTAAATTCATTTTCAAAGTGTTCCTATAAAGAAAAACAAACAAAAGCGTATATAAAAATTTGAAGGCATGCAACAAATCAATTTTACAAAGTTTTTTAAATGCTCAAGGATTTGGTGCAATTTACAGAAGAAAGCAGTTAAGCAAAATTTAACATGTTAACTTGAAATGTATTCTATTGAAAAATAAGTTTCACTCACAGTTCCAACTCTGTTGATGGCGCATGTGAAACAGTGATTAGCGATTGCAGCATTTCTCGCTTCTATTGGCCAAAGTGACTCACTACAAGAAAATCAATAGGTCAGTATGTCTAGAAAAAATTTAACAAAGTTTTCCATGATATCACACGCTACTTAAAGCATCAGAACTACCACAGCCTGCTGTAGCAGTTATGATATCATAAGTACCCTTGCCCTGTACCCCAGTAATGGGGCGAACAGTTTGGCAATGGTATGCCCCCTTACCTAGTTTCCCGCTGGGCCCCAAGGCTCCTAGAATGGCCAGTGATGAGCTTCCAGCTTCTGCAGAGCCAATGAATGCATACTGTTCAAAACAATTTGCATATAATTGACATTGTAGTAGATAATTTACTGCAAACCAATTAGTTTGAATGACTATCTGTTCCTGTCCAAATTAAAGATAATAAAGTTGCGTGCACGCAGAAGTAAATTCACACTGAGACACAAAGTTCAGGGTAATGAAAGAACTTCGGAGAAGTTTAATGGCTTCTGACAGAAAATGGGTGCGCAGACCCTTTTAAAGGCATTATTACATCATTGAAGAAAATCAAGATATAGACAAATAGACATTGTTAATTGGCTTAGGTGCTAAGATGTTAGTAAAATGCCCTCCCCATTCTTAGGTCACTATCCACGTCATGCTTTTTCTCCTCCAGGTTTTAGCGCCATTTTGCTAACATGAGGAGCTCACTCGACGGGAGGGGCCTTTTGGCAGCTATCCATTTAGAGCGTAGCTGGCACTTGTTAGTTTCTCAAGGTTAGGTTTCAAGGCTTTTAGTAAATACACATTTTATCAAAGCTATTTCTTGCTGGCATGCAAATTCTATGTTCTATAGACAAAGCTTTCTTGTAAAACTATGGGGGCCTCTTAGAGGTATAGCAAGAGGATTTAAAGGGGCCTTACAGATTTATAGAGGCCTAATAATTCTACAACAGTCCCCCCTAAAATGTTATTTGCTAAAAGACAAAACTTTATTTGTTAGTATCAGAAGATGTGTTAGCCCAAAGACACAGAAACCCCATGACCGCTGACTTAGTGTTAATGCAAAGTGCAAGTCTATCCCTCTCTTGACCCTAACAGGCTGCAGCACATCCGTCAGTACGGTTCAGGAACACTCTTCACTCCGCTGGTAACCCATAGTGGCTTATCCACTACTTCTCCGTACGGCAGTCTACCCATAAAGACGGACGCTGTCCCTGTACTGTCCCTTCCTAGACTTTCTGCACTTCATCAGTATAAGGGAGAGTTTGTAGCGGAATACAGGGTGATGTGAGATCTTGATCATCGATTGTCAGATGAGTGAAGGTTGGTGTTGCTTGGTCTACGGTTTTCTGCAGGAATTTCCTTAGGCATGGGAGGACACAACAAATGAGAAGAGCGAGAATAAAAAGAAAAATTAGTAAGGCAATACCAATCTGGACTAAAGCTCTCTGCCAACCAGTCATCCAACCAAACCATTTTTCCCAGGGATCAGTAACTCCAGAGTTTCTCTTTAACTCTTCTGAGAGTCTATTTAATTTAGCTATGGCCAGAGTGACTTTACCATTAGGACCTGTGTTTTCTGGGATATAAGTGCAACAAGTCATAGTGTCGGGAAGTATTTTACAGACCCCCCTTTTTTTCGGCTAAGATCATGTCTAAGGCCAGTCTGTTCTGGAAGGTCATTTGGGATGTGGCCTGTAATTGCTCGGCCAAGCCCTGGAGGGCATCCCTGGTGTAGTTCACGAAGCGCTGTTGGTTGTAATAGATATAATTAATCCAATTAAGGTTTTTGTTGGCAGTGACTATGGTAAAAAGTGATTCAAAACCTGCAGCTACTTCATCTCTAGCTTTAAATTCATTAGGTACCCCCCTAGGCACCCCAATGGCATCTATGTAAATGTGGGGGTCAAAACTGCCTTTTACTGGGGTTTCACGCCTTACTCTGGCTGATGTATGTGGAGGGTCGTATGTGTCATGATGATTATCAGAGATAATATGAATGGGCATGATAACTTTGGCCAGGGTACACTCACCCCACCACTCAGTTTCCAGCCTAGATCTTAACTGTAGATCCCCACATAACCAGTAAATATCCCCCAATGACCTGGTATGGTGTTGCAACAGGCGTATAGGAACAGTTCTGTAAGTGGCGCAATAACCTTTAGAAAAATTACCCATGAATTTACCAATCCCGTCATACATGGCATAACAAGTGTAATTACCTCTATAGACTGTGATTCCATCTGGTGGCTTAACATTTTCAACTAAGAGAGGGTATTCTGCCGTCCATGCCATGCAGAGGGACCTATTAAAGTCATATTGGTAGGCAAAAAGGCTTAAGAAGCAATCTTCTATCTCTAAAGGGAGAATTAGGGGGACGGTGCCAAGGTGGGGTCGGGCACCGCCACATACATAACATGCTGTTTTATTATGTTTGTTGGCATTATACCTCATCCATTCTAACCACAAATTAATGTCATTGAATCCAGTTTCAGCGGCCATGGTATCTTCAAAAGTGGGGTTAGCGATGGCCATCATATCTGTAAAGGACTGGATATGTGGTTTTAGCGGATTTGGGGCCATATGATCAGCCCCTTGCCACTCTGGAGAGTGGTACATATCTCTGAGGTAGAAATGACCTAATTTGTTGTAGGAACCTTTCGTCCAATACATTCCCATTACATATCGGTCTTTATCCTCGGGGCCAGGATGTTCAATATTTAACATTAATTTCATAGGGGTACTTCCTCCAGGCTTTCTTAAAGTCATTCTTTGAAGGAGGGATCTACCCTGATTGTCTATCTTAGATAAAGCACTTTTGGGTTTATAACCCCAGGCAGGCCCAGTATTCCATCCCGCAGCCCCCCAGTAGTTACAGTCATAACCCCATTGTTCATCTACTACACAAACGTAAGGGTCTTTTGCTTGTGGTATATCTTTATAAATGGCTTGAATCTGTGACTTAGGGAATGGGCATTCTACAATATCACAGTAATCAAAGGTGAATGTAGCCACGTGGGTACATGATGAATTATACCAGAAAGTGTACCCACTAGCATCTTTGGTGATGGCCACCTGCTGGGCTTTAAGGAGGCCAACTAAGGAGATAATGTACCAGAGGCACATGGTTGCATAGAGTTAGCTTCCTCTGGGGCAGGTGTCTTCTTGCAATGGGAAGCGTGGATCCAGTTAGGCCTTCCGGCCAATTTGACAGAGGTAGGGGAGATCAGGAGAACTTGGAACGGTCCGTCAAATCTTGGTTCCAGGGTGTGTTTTCGCACAAATTTCTTGACCAGAACCCAGTCACCGGGGAGCAGACTGTGGTTGCCTGTGTCAGAATCAGGATCTGGAATTGAAGAGAAAACTTGGGCATGGATTTTGTTTAAAGCATTTGCGAGTTCAGTTACATAATCTACTAAGACATCAGTTTGAAGTTGTAGTTGTTGGGGAAAATAGCAACCTAGCCTAGGTGCAGTCCCAAATAGAATCTCATATGGGGACAGTGAGGTAGTATTTTTGTACAAGAGCATTCATTAGATCCTTTGATAAATGTGCAGGTCCGTGTGCCCATTGTACGACTGCTGGGTACAAATTCTTAGGGAGGCAGAACTTGAGGTTGTTGGAGTACACTCCATCCTTCAGAACTGCCCCTTTCTGTTTCCACTTCTGTATTTCTTCAGGGGCAACTGTAGCCTGTTGTTCCCGCAGGATTTTTAGGTCAGTTGGAAGAGTCTGCAGAGTAAATATGGGAGTTTCTTCATTTCCGGACACTCTTCTTTCCACTTCCTGTGGTTCTTTTGCAGCTTGTTTTGCAGCCTGATCAGCTAGATGGTTGCCCTTGCTTCATCTGAGTCCAACTTCCCATGTGCTTTTATCTTCAAAATAGCCACTTCTTCTGGGAGTAGGAGGGCGTCCATCAGCTCCTTGATTGCGGAACCGTGCTTGATTGGTGTACCGGCGGTGGTAAGAAATCCTCTTGTTTTCCAAATTAATCCGAAGTCGTGAGCCACGCCCAGTGCATATCTTGAATCCGTGTAGATATTGGCGCGCTTTCCTTCAGAGATCTTGCATGCTGAAGTCAGGGCTTGCAATTCAGCTTCTTGTGCAGACCTAGTTGATGGTAAAGATGATGATTTGACAATTTCATCTGTTGTGGTTATGGCATATCCTGTATGGTATCTTCCTTCTTCATCAGCATATCTTGAGCTGTCCACAAACAGGGTGAGATCGGGATCTACCAATGGGTCTTCATGCACAGTTGGTAGATGTGTTGTTTCCATTTTCATCTGTTCAAAACAGTCATGAGGTGTATTTGGGTCGTAGTCATTTACTATGGTTAAATCTTGGAACTCATTTTCCAGGAAATGACGTGGCCATGCTTTTTGGTGGTCAGTTGTTGGATATTTGACACCATTTTCCTGCAGCTGTGATTCGTCCATAGTGGCCCATGCTTTTGCCATAGGCCCAAGATCATTCCATGATATTGTTTTCAACTTGGTCACAGGGACATGTGGAATGGCAGTGTCCCAATGACGGTACAAATACTTGAGTTCCGGAGGTAGATGAATCAAGACCATACTGTTGCCTTCAGAATCACAGTAGAAGTCTTGTGCAGTGAGTTTTACTTCGACCAGATGATAGAGTTCATCTTCATAGCAGGGTTCAGGAGTGATGTTTGGTTTGTACCACATGGTACAGAAGGCATATCCTGCTCCGTCATGAAGGAGTGCTTGTCCATCATGAAAGGATAGGTTGGGATGCATTTCGAAAAACATAAGTTTCGTCCATGATGAATCCGTAGTATACACCCCCCTCAGGGAGTGGCAGAAGAGTGGATGGATTGAGAACTTGACATCTTTGAGGGGTAATGTGGTCAGGCAACAAAAGATGACATTGAAGGCGAAGATGCCTAGCAGGAGTAACATGTTTAAGTTGGACCTGGTTGACTATGGCAGAAATGTCATGAGGGGCCAAGACAACCAGGGGGTGGCCAAGGACAAGATCTCCAGTTCTTTCAATGAGCTCTTTGGCAGCACAGACGGCCCGAAGGCAAGTGGGACGTCCTCTGGCCACAATATCCAGTTGGCAGGAGAAAAATCCAATAGGCCTTTGGCGGCATCCAGGACCATGGGCCTGAGTGAGTACTCCTGTTGCATGGCCTTGTCTTTCAGAAACAAACAATTTGAAGGGTTTGGTATAGTCTGGTAGGCCAAGAGCAGGAGCAGAAGCAATAGCACGTTTAAGAGTACAGAAGTTGTCAAGGGCTTCTGTGGACAAGCAAAATGGGTCTGACTTGAGAGCATCATAGAGAGGTTGCATAAGGAGTGAGGCTTCTGGGATCCATGCTCGGCAATAGGAAATGAGGCCTAGGAAGGCGTGTAGTGACTTTGAGGTCCTTGGAGGTGGAATGTCCAGTACTGCTCTAACTCGGTCACGAGTGAGATGTCTGGTTCCCTGAGACAGACAATGGCCAAGGAAGATAACAATAGGTTGGCAGAATTGCAGCTTGAGACGTGAAGCTTCACATCCTTGTTCTGCTAGATAGTAAAGAAGATTAATTGAGCATTGTTCTGTTGTGGGTAGATCATCTCCACAGTAAAATGGGAAGGGAACAAAGAACTGTAGTGTCTTTTCGTGACAAAGGTGTATTTAATTGAACCTGGCCGTCTGCAGTGAGGGTGATGGATGCTTGGAGGCGGGATAGGACATCAGCACCAACACAAGAGACATCGGTGTCAGGCAGGAACGATGAGTCAGGCAGGTCTTGTTCTCTAAGAACACTGCGGGCTGCACCTGTGTTAACCAGGAAAGTAGTAGGGTGACCTTCAATAGGTAAAGTTACAGTGGCTAGTGGCCCCCCTTGTTCCCTGTAGACACTGCCATGGCAGGGGCATTAAGCATCAGCGGGTTTGCTCTCCTCCGTATGGGCTGTGTTACTGACTCAAACCCCTTTCTATGTCATTAGCCATAGCTTTTTGCAGTCTGAACATGTCTATCATTATAAATAATGGTTAATAGTAAGTGAAGTAAAGTTCCTAAATGTCTTTGGATAAAACATTAACTATTGCGGTACTATCATTTATATTAATTAGACTATAACAATTATACCACCCTGTAACTAAAATAAACAACCAGTAGTGGCTGGGTTAATAAAACATGTCACTAATCCTTCTAATGCTAAACCACCATTTAACATAAAGGATGTTACTGTAAACATACGATCTGTAACTAGCAAGATTCGATTAAGCAAAGATACAATGTTTAAAATAACTTGCATTATTTGGCTATTTCCCTTGTTGCAAGATTAATCTGGATAATCAGCTGTTATGCTCTTATATTCGTGTCCAACAGATCTCATTTGTAGGTCACACCACAGTTGCAAATTACATTTTAGCAACCTTTTTGTTTTTTTTGTTTTTTATCACGGACAAATTTCTGATACAGGGAAACAAATGGCATGATTGTTTTAGTAATTATAATGTTTCTGTTCATAATATGTAGAGTGTAAGGAAAACAACATGTCTCTAAATAGGACGAGCATAATAGGGGTAGGCCTCATGATGGAGGCAGCCATGACAGGGGCGGGGAAGGAAATGACAGCAAGGGAGGAAGTGAGAGGGGTGACGTCCATGATATGTGTGGGAAAGGAAGACAGGAGGTGTGGGCATGGTAAGGGCGGAAGTGACGTCACTTTAGAAGCAACCGTGACTGTAGATAGGTCACGGGACTGGCAGGGTCAACCTCCTTCTGTACTAGGCGCCATCTTTAGGGTGGTGGCTGATGCACTTTCGACAATACACTATATTATAACTATTAAAATAAGTCAGAGAAGCAACATTCCGTTCTGCAAAATGAAATACTAAACTACGAACAGACCTGGCAGGTTAAATAAGACAGTTGAAAACATTATGCATTTAACAGCCCATACAGCTGACCATAGAAACATGTACTTTAAAATAACTTTAAAATAATAAAATGATGCAAAATAAACTCACGGAATTCAACCAATTTCCCTTATCATCCTCATTGCATAGTTTTGCAACAAATCACGCTTGCCTTTACACTTAACACGTCCAAATATTCCTCTATTCTTGTATCAGATTCACTTACCTCCGTAAATCAACACTGAGCTACATTCTTGTGTCTCCCCCACAATCCTCACTACTTTATCACAAAACACAATTTATATATATATATATATATATATATAAACGGCAACAATAATAATATTATTACACAATTATAACACCATAACCTTTGAATTAGAATATTGTCCAGCAAAAATCCTGTCTCTAACTCTTATCAGTAGAAATGCAGGCAAGCGGGGAGGAGAGGGGGGAGAAAGTTAGACAGTGCAAAAAAGGGAGTGAAGCTGCAGGCATGAAGATTAACCATGTGAGTGCTGGAAAGTAACAAGACAGAAGGACAGAGACTTATACGTTTGGAAACCAGAAATCTTTGACGGGAGAAACGGACTGGAGGTGCAGGGAGCTGCAGAGAGAGGATGAGGGTGACGAGATCTGTAGGACTGATGGGGGGGGGAATAGGGATCCATCAGCATCCAGTAACACAATTATTATAATACACAAACAATCTTAAACCTTTGTGATCAATTTCTTCCTCAACCTATCCCTTTTGCTGAATAGCTCTTGCTACTCGGTACCAGGCTTCTGCTGTACAAACCAAATCGTGGTCCGACAGCTTCCCCTTTCTTCTCTATCAGTAACTTACGCCAGCTCTCTGGCTACAATCTGCCGCACGGAGGTACGGTAATTCCACATACTTTAGCAATCTTCCTCACTTTCTTAACCATCTCTTCTCCTTCTCTGTCTTCCACTAGATCACATGCTAACCAACCCTTACTGGGTTTATCTAACTTCTGTCCCATCCTCCCTATACAAGGCGTCCCAGATATAGAGAGAGAAAGGAACAGAACGTCTACCGTGCTCGACTGCTACTTTAAGAGCAAGCTCTTTAAGTACGTCTTCCCAAAACGTAGACTAGTCACTGATTCCGCCTACCCGTGGTAGCCGCGGATTGGAGCGTGGCGAGAAGTGTGTGACCAATCACTTCTCTCAACAGAGAAAGAGAAATAGGAGGGGAAAGTGTAAATAGTACAGTGAGTAAGATAGAAGTAAACACAGGGATCTGTGTGACAGACAATTAAGACAATAACATTTCAGTGTAAATACAGTGCATGCATCACAGTTCAAATAAGTTCAACAGTTTTATCCCTTGCCTTTACTCGTGTGGCCAAAAGCCACCTCCCTCAACCTCGTAGTGTCCCTGTTGCGGACCCACCCGCAAGTCTCACTACCAGCAGCCACAGGAAACAGCAACAGCTTCCAACCCGAATCCTGTATAGCCTAAAGAATTGGAATCTTACCTGCCTCAGCGCTCGAGGCTGGAATTTTACCAAGAAGAAGTGTCCGATGAGGCTAGCTAAGCGGTCAAAGTGACACTCTGGGGAACCCCCAGGAAGCAATGAGTCTACATCATCCTCCACAGATTCCCCCTACTCTTTTTCCTTACAGCCACAGCCACGTGGCTCCTAAAAGAGTTAAACAGGCAATAGAGGACCCCCAGGAAAACTTCCACAGGTCCACCCCCCTTTTTCCTTACTACCACAGCCACGTGGTACCTAAAAGGAGTTAAACAGGCACTTACACTCCCCGGGTACTAAGTTAAACACATACCAATACAAACACACCCAGGCAACAGATAGTCAACATGCAGGTAAACTAGGTATCATTAACAATACAAAGACTCTGGGCAAGTTATTACCTGACTTTGATGTCCTCTCGGCAGCAGTCACAGACACTGGGATAGGTCAATCACAGGGGCAGGAACATACCGGCTAGGTGCTGCAGCAATCTCTACCGTGTACTCAGAGGTGATCAGGCTCTTTTCCTTCCCCCAGGATTCAGCCCCCCCAGCGTCTTCTTGGACAGCTGCCCAGGCAGGACATAGCCCAGAGCCCCACGTTATGGGCGCCAATTTGTAGTAGATAATTTACTGCAAACCAATTAGTTTGAATGACTATCTGTTCCTGTCCAAATTAAAGATAATAAAGTTGCGTGCACGCAGAAGTAAATTCACACTGAGACACAGAGTTCAGGTTAATGAAAGAACTTCGGAGAAGTTTAATGGCTTCTGACAGAAAATGGGTGCGCAGACCCTTTTAAAGGCATTATTACATCATTGAATAAAATCAAGATATAGACAAATAGACATTGTTAATTGGCTTAGGTGCTAAGATGTTAGTAAAATGCCCTCCCCATTCTTAGGTCACTATCCACGTCATGCTTTTTCTCCTCCAGGTTTTAGCGCCATTTTGCTAACATGAGGAGCTCACTCGACGGGAGGGGCCTTTTGGCAGCTATCCATTTAGAGCGTAGCTGGCACTTGTTAGTTTCTCAAGGTTAGGTTTCAAGGCTTTTAGTAAATACACATTTTATCAAAGCTATTTCTTGCTGGCATGCAAATTCTATGTTCTATAGACAAAGCTTTCTTGTAAAACTATGGGGGCCTCTTAGAGGTATAGCAAGAGGATTTAAAGGGGCCTTACAGATTTATAGAGGCCTAATAATTCTACAACAACATTATCCAGCCCGGAACTCTAGTTCAGACCTGAAGGATGACACCCCATGATGCTGCCGCACTGCCAAAGTTGAAGTTACACCTCTACCAGCCAAGGGGTTAAATTCCATAAGTGCAGTGTTTAATACTGAAACATTACACAATCAAGCAACTTGACAACTTCTAATCAGAAAACAATATACCCCCTTGCTGTAATACCAAAAAGGCTATTTTAGTGGAGTGACAAATACACACATGCCCCTGCCATTAAGTTAAATAAATACAAGCATAGGCTCTGCTCTCATCTCCAAATATTGTTGTTACCATTTCTAATTACTGAGCAAAACAAACAGACTGCCATGTTTCATTACCTAAGCTCCCCAACTGTAGCTGAAGGGTTGAAAATGATCTCTGCTCCATTCATGCTGTACATGAACCAGTTGAGGGGGTGGTGGCGCCCGTAGCAGATATTTACTGCAATCTTCCCAAATGCTGTCTGAAACACTTTGTGGCCTGTGTTTCCCTCCATGTAGTAGCTAGACTGGAAAAAAGACCAAGAAAAAAAAAAAAAGAGATTGCACATTAACTGAGGGAATATTTCTGCTAGTTGTTATCTGGACCCGCGTATAAAACCCATTTATATTTATAATGCTGAGCTTTGTTTTTTGTTTTTTTTATTATTTCTAATAGAGGGGAAAGGGGAATTAGTACATGGGGACTAATTTTGTTGTAAATTCAGAAGAAACATTGATATTTGGCCTACATTTTTTTTTAAACACAACTATCTCAGAAATATAAAGCAATTTTTATTTTGTTTGCTTTCTGATTCCAAAAGTAAAAATAATACCAAAAACATTTTCAATCCCTTTGGCTGTTGTCTTTTAAACTAAAGTTACTGGAGAAATCAGGGTAATATGAAGTCAGAGTAGGCAAGCATGACACTAAAAGCTTATTTTAAAACTTTGCTGTGCTCTTTGAGAGCTAATCATATCAGAACTATTCCAATGTTTTCGTCTATTAACAGGCTGTTGTCAGCAGTCAGCACCCACTTTATTCTCAGAGATACTGTAGGAAGATATTTTCATATGAAAATCAAGCTCGCACTAGGCCTAGTTAGTGATACCATTCATATGGCATAATAAAATATGCAAGCTCTCAAGTAGAGCTTAATTTGGCATCTATCGATGAGCCTTGAGAGGCTTCTATCTCTGTTCTCACATAAGCACCGCATTTTTATTTACCTCAGGCTTTTTTTTTGTTTGTTTTGCAAGATGTATATGTTGGCAACACCATTTGCAGCATTTGCTGCCTACTATGCCAGCAGCGTTTATATTCCTCATGGGTGAGTCCGATCACAAGTTTAGTTGCTAAGATAGTATTCATTGAAGGCTTGGTATTTTGTTTTGATCATAGTTGCAGGAGAGGAATCAGGGTGCGGGGAGGGAAAACTGTTGACGGTTTAACTGATATGCTTTCCCGAAGAAGTTAGTTTTCATAGATTTTTTTGAAGGAGTGGAAACTGGGTGAAAGTCTAACAGAGAGGGGATGGGCGTTCCATAGGAACGGTGCAGCCCTAGAGAAGTCTTTTTAAGGCGAGCATCAGAGGCAGGAGTACGAACACAGGTTAGACGTAGGTCTTCCGGAGAGCGTAGTGGCCTAGATGGGATATATTGGTGTATTAGTGAGGATAGGTAGGTCGAAGCAGCATTATGTTTAGATTTGTAAGCAAGTACCAGGATCTTAAATTTAGCCCTATATCTTAGGTAAGCCAATGTAGGGACTGACAGATGGGGGAGGCATGGGAGGTGGAGACAGACAGAAAGATGCATGTTTGGCCTAAGTAAAATTATGGTATGTCATTGCTTGCCTTAATCAAAGGTTGCACAACATACTGTACACATATGTGCTGTGTAGCTTCTATCCCTTACCATTTCAGTAATGGGTATGTTTTATCAGTGCAAACCTCATTGACTACTCAGGGAAAGAGTATGGGAGGACTGTAAAATGCCCTGCACTCATAAGCGTTCATCAATATGTATTTTCATATCCGTTTATTAAGCTCTTTGCATTGCTTTAAGGGAGAAGTATGGCAATATAATTGCTAAATATGAATTATAATAGAAGATACAATGAATATGCATACGCAGGAATAGAAGGCTCCTGCCTCAAAGACCATTATCCACTGTAATTAAGTGTGATTATCATCATGTAAAATTGAATATCATTAGTAAACCATCAATATTTAGAGGTGTCCAAGTTACTCACCTCATTAAAGTCTCCTATTCTAGGGATATGGTTCTTCCTACTTTTCCCTAGAACAGCTCCGGTGTTTGATATGACGACAGCCGTGTTCCACAGAACATCGCCATGGGACTCGTCCCTTTCCAGGATTGGAGATATGATGACCATGTTGTATTTCCTGGCCAGCTGATTACACAACACAGGTTAGAAGACATTAAAAGGAATGTACAAAATGATAAAGCATTATTTACCTCCCCTCATCACCTTATTATATGGTAAGTGATTATATATACCATCTACACTGTGTTATAGTAGCCACTGTCCCCCCCCTCTCACCCAGCAGCCACTGTCCCCCCCCCTCTCACCCAGCAGCCCTATGTCCCCCCTCTCACCCAGCAGCCCCTGTCCCCATCTCACAAAGCAGCCCCATGTCCCCTCTCACACCCTGCAGCCTCTTTCTCCCTCACAACCAGAAGCCCCATGACACCATCTCTCACCCTGCAGCCCCATGTCCCCTTCGCACACCCTGCAGCCCCATGTCCCTTCTCAACACCCTGCAGCCCCATGTTCCCTCTCACACCATGCAGTACCATGTCCTCTCTCACACCATGCAGCTCATTGTCCCCTCTCACACCCTGCAGCCCCATGACCCCTTCTCTCTCTATGCAGCCCCATGTCCATTCTCACTTTCTGCAGCCCCATTTCCCCCTTTCACACTCTAGATCTTATTCTGCCCTCACACAACATCCCCTATTGTCACCCCCTCACACACACGTTGCCTATCAGCCCCACGCTACACATGGACTGGCCTAAGGAGTATTAAACAAATGTGCCCACTTTGGAGAGGCATGAATGTCATTGGTGATGACACAACATGCACCCTCTTGGGCCACAGCCCTCTGAGTGCTCTTCTGCCATTAAATGCCTGGGCTAAATTTTTGTTCCAGTCCGGCCCTGCACACAGCACCCTCACACACAGCACTCTCACAAATATCACCCTCACACACAACACTCTCACACACAGCACAATCACACACATTGCTCTTACACACATCACCCTTACACACAGCACTCTCACACACAACACCCTCACACACAGCACCCCTCTCACACACACTTTACCCCTCACATACATACACACACACACACACACACATACTGCACCCCTCACATACTCACTGCACCCTTTACACACCACCATTGCACCCCTCACATATACACACAGAGTCCGCCCAACACATTGCACCACACTACATCCCTATATACACTCTGAATCCTCAATTTACACACACTCACTAGATCTCCTATACACATTTTGGGTCCTTCAAATACACACTAGACCCCTATACACACACACACACTGCACCACCTACACACACACTACATTCCTAACATATACACTCTGGATCCCCTATACACACACTAGATTCCTTGTAAGCAAACATATACTACATTCCCTAAACATACAACCCCTACAAACACTACATCACCTATACACACACACACACACACACACACACACACTTTAGCCCATATGCACACACACACACTTTAGCCCATATGCACACACTTGCTACAGCCCCAAGCCACATATGAATTACATTACACCACAAACACAACACGACTAAAACCGACCTTATTACACAATACCACACCATAATCAGCTCACTCTACACACACGCAATCCCACAAGCAGGCTTCAAACACATGCACTAGACTCTTTCCTGGCACTTTTGTCTCCTGTTATCCCATTTATAGAGACACCAGAGACAGGTTGCAAGGAAACACAGTGCAAGCATGCAATTAAATTTGCTTGCACTGTGCAGAACAAATACAGGGCCCTTTTCTCATGCTAGAGCTCTTTAGCCGAGTTCTGCGCATGGTCGCTACTGGAAGAGTATTGTACATGCTCACTTTGAGAGGAGGCGTGTTTGTCATTGGTGATGACAAAACACACCCTCTCTGCCACACCCCCCTTTTAGTGGGCCGCTGTGATAAAAAAAATGCCCGGGACGAATTTTCCCAGCCTGGCCCTGGTTACCATGATGTCACTTTGTTACTTCAAATGGAATGCAATCAGCTATTATGTGCTTGAAAAGAATACTGCCTTTGAAAATTCTTAATTTGAGTTAACATTGGAGACCAAGGTTTTACAAACCTGTGCTGTAAATCAATTTCTTGAATAAGTCATTGTGAAAATGTCATTACTTACACAGTACCATAGCTTCATAAAGAGGAATAACATATACATAGAGGACACCATTTAAAATATACATTATCAATATAAATGGAGCCTTTATTTCTTGCAGGACCTAAACTATGTAACATACAGTTATCTGGCTAAACCAGGTATCTGTACTACACAGGGTGTTACAGGCTGCCATTGTCCTCATGACTGCATTGCTGTACAATATACTTTATTTTACCAAAAAAATATATATTATATAATTTAAAATTTAACTTAGGTGATTAATATAAAGACAGACATTTTAAGGTTAAGTGATTTGGAGTCGTGGATATCACCTTCAACAGTGATATTTGTGGACTACATTTCCTATGATGCACAGTCAGTATAAATATAGTTCACTCAACATTTAGTGCATAACGATTATAGGAGATAATGCTGCGATTTGAATATGTTTAACTTATAACTGTATACTAAACAGGCAGGAAGTAGGAGTTGGAATATATCCCACTGTAACTGGATTACTTATCAAGGTTATTCACAAAACCAGAAAATATTGAGACTTGACAAAGGAATTGTACATTTTGTGTCACATGTTTCAATGATCTTAAAGGGAAACTCCCTTGTTTTCCTGGCACTGCAGGTCCCCTCTCCCTCCCACCCCCCAATCCCCGGTTGCTGAAGGGGTGAAAACCCCTTCAGTAACTTACCTGAGGCAGCGACGATGTCCCACGTCGCTGCTTCTTCCTCTGCGCTACTCCTCCCTCTGATTGCGTCGGCCGGTGGGCGAGACTGATCCCGCCCACCGGCCGGGGAGACCTAAAGCTCATGCACGGCAATGCCGCGCATGCGCATTAGCGCTCCCCAAAGGAAAGCATTGAAAATGCATTTCAATTCTTTCCTATGGGGAAATGAGCGACGCTGGAGGAAACCAGGAAGTTTCTAGTAGACAGCCACTAGAGGTGGAGTTAACCCTGCAAGGTAATTATTGCAGTTTATAAAAAACTGCAATAATTACACTTGCAGGGTTAAGGGTAGTGGGAGTTGGCACCCAGACCACTCCAATGGGCAGAAGTGGTCTGGGTGCCTGAAGTGTCCCTTTAACAATTGTGACAATAGTAAGAATGTGTTGGTCAAGATGAAATGTAATGGGGATAAACAAAAATAAAAACAGAAAATTGGCTTGCTGCCCATTGCTTACCTCCTGGCAGAATTTGGTTGTTATTCCATTCTCAGCAGATTCAGCAAACTCTGTCCATGGAAGCTTCTCCCTTGTACAAAAAGCAAAGGGCATTGCTGTGGAGCAATGGTAACAAGCATTTAGTCAATTAAACAGAAGAGAAGATACAGGTGTAATTTAGGTGTATTGTTTGGTATAAGCTATGTACACAATACTGGGAGGGAAAAATGTGTCCACATTCAATTCTCAGTTGCCATTTACCTAGAGAGACCAGTTCTATGACATTCAAATATTCCTCAGGAATAAATGCTAGTGGTAACTGAAAGAGCATGCATGAGATGAGTCCATCTCACCTGATAGTTCAAAATGGTGGAGATGTGACAAACCTTGTGCGCAATGGTTGGCGTTGCCAAGGATGGAAACTGTAATTCTAATTTCTGTGTGTGTATGTATATATATATATATATATATATATATATATATATATACAAAGAATAATAGGAGTTGCACTCCAGCTCTCCTTATTAATTGCCCGGTGCTCGACTGCACAAATGTATAGTTTTAGAAAAAAGTCAGCACTCAAGGACTTTCAATGTACTAAAAGAATTCAAAAAAACCTTTTAATCCAGTTGTTCAAAGAGGTCAACGTTTCAGTCCATCGTCGTGGACTTTCATCAGGACATACATATATAGTGTTTTTTAGTTTTCTTTCGCAGTAATCAAAGATATGCTTGATGATTTATAATCCATAAAATGTATCATTCAGCACACTGCTCCATTTAGATTTTTCTAAAAATTTATCTTAAATATTTGTTTCCATGTGGCGATCTGTCTTCTTTTAAAGGGAACCTACCAGTGTTGTCAGTCAACTGTAAACATTGCAATTTGTTGGAAATGACAATTTTTACATATGTCAGTTCATGTGCCTCTAGTGGCTGCCAACCAGGCACAAGTGAGGAGCACCTCATAGTGAAGACTTCAAATAATTTAAAGGACCACTATAGGCACCCAGACCACTTCAGCTCAATGAAGTGGTCTGGGTGCCAGGTCCCTCTCATTTTAACACTGCAGCTGAAAACATAGCAGTTTCAAGGAAACAGCTATGTTTCACTGAGGGTTAATCCAGCCTCTAGTGGCTGTCTCACTGACAGCCGCTAGAGGCGCTTCCGCGATTCTCACTGTGAAAATCACAGCGAGAAGACGCTGACGTCCATAAGAAAGCATTTCATGCGCATTCGGATCTGACGTCAGCAAGGGGTGGAGAGTTCCCTAGCACAGAGGGAGCCCAGCGCTAGAGAAAGGAAAGTTTGTTTTCCTGGCACTATAGTGCTCCTTTAAGATCTTTATGTTTGGAGTCTACACGCACAGCATAATGCTGCCAGATGCTGTGAAGTCTTGGATTCAATACATCTATGACAGCGGTTCTCAACCCAGTTCTCAAGTACCCCCTTACATTCCAGGATTTAGGGATTACCCAATTGTCTAAGGTGTTTTTAGAAAAACAAAACAAAAAACACTTTAGAGACAACAGGGTAATCCCTAAATCCTGGACTGTTAGGGGGTACTTGAACCCATGATCTATGAGAACCATCTGAGCACCATGATTGCCTCCCATGTCCAGTAGGTTCCTAATGCATTTGATTAGAAAGGAGATCATCAGTAAAGGTGATCTTAGAAGAGGAGGAACATCTGGAGCTGTGAGACTGGATGGAACCTGATGAAAAGCGAGTAACAAAGAAAAATTTGTGTTTTATTTTTTTTTAGAGTTTTACAATAGGGGTTCCTGGTAATCTATTTATCCAGAATAATAGCAGTAAAAATAAAATGACTTCTAGTGTTATGTTTGAGTGTTTTGTTCAATATCTATTAAATCTATTAAAATAAATGTTTAGTAAATGATATTGCAATCTAGTTCAGATAAAGCAAAGCCAGAGCAAACATTGCAAATGAAGAAAGGATTCTTAATTTCTCCTATTCTTTGCATGCTTTCTGTCATATGCAAAGTAATAGGCTTGTAACAATGACCATTAGTAAGCTGGAGATGTAGGTGCCCAGTTGCAGGCTAAAGAGGCACTGGCGTACATACAGCGGAGCCCATCACTCCAGGGGACCCGGCCGCCCTGCAGACCCCTGCGACCGGGTGCACGCCATCATCATTTGCGGCCCTGGCCTGCGTGGCAATCCGCCGGGGCTGCATGTCAAGGTGCCCATCGGGTGGCCCATGCTGTCAGGGCCATCCGACGGGTAAGGATTTTCACAAGCTGGGAGGAAGTGACTCCCCATCACTCCTCCCAGCTATCACTGAGAGCCTGCGCGGGAGGAAGCATAGAGAGTCAGAGTGGGAACTCTGACTCCCATCAACCTGAGCCACCACTGGACACCCAGAGAAAGTCACCCTCCTGCACTTAAAAGGTAGGAAACAGGAGGGTGACTTAAATATTATGTGTGTGTGTATATGTCTATCTGTATGTTTGCCTGTCTGTATGTTTGTGTCTTTGTATGTATGTCGTGTGTGTGTGTGTGTGTGTGTGTGACTGTCTGTGTCTGTCTGTCTTTATGTATTTTTGTGTATGTATGTGTTTTTGTATGTATGTTTGTCGTGTGTGTCTGTATGTGTCTGTATGTATATGTCTTTGTATGTATGTGTTGTTTGTGTATATGTATGTATCTGTATGTGTGTGTCTCTGTATGTATGTGTCTGTCTGTGTGTGTGTGTGTGTCTGTCGGAGGGCGGGGGGAGTTAGAGGGGCCCCATGGGTTGTGTGTACGCCACTGTAAAGAGGTATGGATCTCAACATTTAATTTCATTTTTCACAATTAAATCTCTGTATTTAGGGTGTAAGTAAGCAGGTCCCCTTTAATAAAAATGCAGTGTGGGTACTTTAAAATCACAGACACGCTGGGCGTTAAGGAAAGAACCAATATTGGATAATCATTGTGGAAAAAGTAGGGAATTAATGTTACAGAACTATGTAAAGGTGGTCATATGATTGGCTATAAATAGGCGTCTTCCTTATTGTTTTTAAAAACGAATTAACCCTACAGCAGCTAATAAATCTAAAGTTGCATCTCTTTTTGAACTGCATAGATCTACTACATAAATAATAATGAAATAAATCATGTGAAAGTTTGTTTCAGATTTTACAGTGTGTGGCATACTTGTCATAGGTACAGTATAGCTATTTACTTTTCACAAACCAACAGCAAAGCAAAATCTTTTCCCCTTGACCTTTTGTGCCCTTCTCAACGGATACAAGTGGTTACAGTGTAACTGCCAGTTACAGATTTACCTGCCTAGTAATCATTTATATCTAAGGGACAAAAGTGCGAAATTATCAAAATGGGGGAAAAAAACTAAAATAAAGCGTGCATTTACTCCATTGCATGTAAATAGCATAACAATACATCATCCTTTGGTTCTGTAAAGGGATATTTCATTCCCTTTACAAAGACATCAGGCAGGTAAGACACATCACATACATTGTGCTGCCTCCCTTCCAAACAAGGACACCAGAGGTAGATGCAAGAGGCTACATGTGCAGTCATCCATTGTTAAGAGATATTCACAATTTAGGCCTGAATGCATAGAGCACGCTACTAGCACATGAGACTCTCCCTTTAAGAAAAGCATTGAATCAATGCTTTCCTATGAGGTTTTCACTGACGCTGGATGTCTTCATGCAGAGTGTGGAGATCTTAAGTCTGGTAAGATTCCAGAAGCGCCTCTAGTGGCTGTCTGGTAGACAATCACTACAGGCTCTCTTAGTGCTGCAATGTAAACACTGCAGTTTCTCAAAAACTGCCATAATTTACATTGCAGGACTAGGTGGAACAGGGACATTGCACCCAGACTACTTCATGAGCTGGGTGCCTATAGTGGCCCTTTAAGTACTGTAAACATGACTCACTTTCCTGTGTTTATCTGTGAGTCCTTTGGGAAGGAAGGAAAGATTTGAATAGTTACCATCTTCTATTTTACAGGAGCTCTCCACAGACTAGTCCTTTCCTTGTATCAGCAAAGTATAACTTTTTCTGCTGTTGGCGTTCTCACACTTAAAGGGATGCTATAGCTAAAAGGATGCTACAGCTTATCGTATTTGTTCTGGTGAGTATAATCATTGCCTTCGGCTTTTGTCAGTAAACACTGTCTTATCAGAGAAAAGACCATGTTTACATTTCAGCCTAGGGATATCTCCACTGGCCACTCCTCAGATGGCTGCTAGAGGTGCTACCTGGGGCAGTGCTGCAGAATTGACATTCAGGCTCTCCACCCTCTGCATGTAGACACTGAACTTTCCTCATAGAGATGCATTGATGCAATGCATCTCTACGAGGAGATGCAGATTGACTCGGGCTGTGTTTGGCTTGTGATGGCTCTGCTCCTGATCTGCCTCCATGACAATCTTAGCCAATCCAATATTTTCCTATGGGAAAGCACTTCTGATTATATCAGCCAAGCAGCCAGATCGGGGCAGAGTCAGCAACAGCAGACTGGAATAAAGGTACGATTTTACTATACTTAGGGGGTCAGTGGGGCTAAATGGTGTTTTTAATACTATAGGGTCAGGAATACATGTTTGCTTTCCTTAACCTATAGTGTTCCTATAATGTATGTAGATGTATCATTTTACAGCAACACAATCTACATCATGCTATATACATTGTCTTAACAGTGTGTATATTAAAAAAAAAATACACAGTAGCCCTTTTGTAATGATAAGTTACACCATTATATTAATTGTGGTACTTTGTGCATTGTATGTTACTACATGTTTGTCAACATGCAAGGGTCTGGTGTGTGTGTAAAAGGGGTTAAACAATAAGTATAGATAAATCCTTACTCCAAGCTTCCTGGAAGCACACAATATTCACACCACATGTAGAGGCTGCCTCCACCATCGTAGCAATGCGCTTGTGCAGGGCATAGATCTGTGGTGGGAAAAAAATAAGATGTGAATGTAAGGCTTATACTGCTCTGTAAATAAAAATTGAGTAAACAGTACATGGATGGTATTAGCTGGGCCTGTAGGACTACTAGGCTATATTTTGCTGCTGTGGCAGGTAGCAGAATATAGCCAGACATAACGAACAGATCACATTGCTCATGCCATGAGTGCCAGCTCTGCATAGATTCTCTGAGGGAGTGCCTCATGTATCGCCAGACACAGGGTACAAGTCCTAACAGGTGGCTGATTGGCCAGGTATCATTGGCACCTACAGGTTTGTCAATAGATAAAATGTTCATATGTTATTTACCCACAATATTTTAAGGCAATAATTAGCTATGGAGAAGATGGACTGCTGTGCCAAGCTTAGACTTTTTTTTTTTTTTACAGATCACTTTTCACAAGAGTTAGTAGTCAGCAGAATAATGTCATTTGAGCTCTGATACATGAACCACCTGGAGGGACTGAACTTTATTTTTCCAAATTTATCACAATACTAACCTCCTGGACATCCCAAGGAGGCCTATATGTAAATATTAACATGCGCTATAAACATCATCTCTTCTGTAAAATTTGAAAGTAGCCTATGGGATTTATCTGAACAGTATGTGTTGCAGGAATATGAGTATGCACTGTTCCAAATGGATTAGTAATATGATCCACTGCTGGGGGAAAAGAAAACTTGGTTTACATTCCAGCTTACTGTGCAAAGGAAGTGATCATTGGACTCTCTGCAAACAAGAGCACATGTACTCCATAAACTCCAACACAAATGTACAATACACTGGACATATAGAGAAATGATCAAAATAGTGCAGTATTATAGACACTGATTAACAGCACAACACCTACTAGAATACAAAATCACTGCGTGTATCTCTACCACCCTTATGTAGTAATTCTACCTAAACAATTATTCAATGCTCAATCAAAACAATAAATTAAAAAACTATGCATGCATTGTGATTACTCACATTTCTTTAATACCAACTTTACATACATACACTTACTGTAAACATAACAAACCTGCATATAGCATCATCACCTACCTGTTCCACTACAGGCTCTGTGGTGGCTGTCTGAATTTTATTCTGGATTAACCCCACTCTGACTATCCGGGGCCGTCGAAGTTGCTCTGTAGCTGCTTCAAGGATGAAGCCCTTCAGCTCAAACTGCCCCTGGGATGCAGCGTTCACAGCAACATCTGGTAGATCCAGGATCCTAGGACAGGATATAGCACTAACATATTCAGCTGCGTTGTACAATAAAATTAGGGATCTAAGTAATACTGGCAAAACAATTCAGCTAAACAGCGGCAAGAGGTGATGACGGCCCTCCTGACAAAACTGTGATATAAATACTCCGTATATTATATCAGAATGCTCTGACTATACAACTCCCTTACCCGGGTTCTTTGCCATAGAGGATCCTCCAGACCTCCTTTATCTCCTGGCCTGGGATATGTCCCTGCAGGACCTGCTCCAAAGACTCCAACTCTCCGGACATGGTGACCGCTCCAAACTTCTGAACCACCAGCTTGGAGACTTGATAGCTGCATGGAGGGGGCGTAGCGAGAGACCCGCCCCCTTCCCTATAGTAGATAACATTCTAAATTATTCCAGTATACTGTATACAGACAGTTATCCATTGCTAACATTCTAAGTGAATCCAGTATACGCAGAGATTCATTGCTAACATTCTAAATTAATCCAATATACACAATGAATAATTTCTGACATTCTAAACGAATGAGGTATACACAGTTATCCATTGCTAACGTTCTCAATGAATATTCTAAATGAATCACGTACACACAGGGATTCACCGCTAACATTCTAAATTAATCTAGTATACACAGAGATTCATTGCTAACATTGTAAACGAATCAAGTATACACAGGGATTCATTGATAACATTCTAATAGTTACTATACACAGTGATTTAGTGCTAACATTTTAATAGTCACTATACACCGGGATTGTTGCGGACATTCTAATACTCAGTATACACAGTGATTCATTGCTGACATTCTAATGGTCACCATACACAGGGATTCATTGCTGACATTCTAATAGTCACTCTACACAGCGGTTCATTGCTGACATTCTAATAGTCATTATACACAGGGATTCATTGCTGATATTCTAATAGTCACTCTACACAGGGGTTCATTGCTGACATTCTAATAGTCATTATACACAGGGATTCATTGATAACAATCAAGAGGCCACAGACATTAAGCACTGTGGCATATATGCATGGTGGCAATAGAGGGGTAATAGATCAAGTTAATACTATAGGAAAAGTTCAGTGTAAGTTCATGACCCTGATCAGGTTGTTGGGCAGAGTGGGGACAAGTAGCTGGGCAGATTAGGTGACACAGCTGTTGCTGGGGACAAGAGCTGGTTGAGGATTGGTTGCTGGGAGTGAGCCGGCAAAAAAAGCGAGAACCCAGGCTAGCATAAAAATTGATATATATACACACACATATACACTGTTTGGGTATTCCCCATGAGTAAATGCTACCATGATTGATCAGGAATAAGGATAATTGGTTCATACTTACCGTAATTTTCTTTTCCTGATCATTATCCATGGCAGCATTATGTTCCCACCCATATACTATAAGAGCTGTGAAGCTAGTTACAAAGACTGCCTGTTGGGAATGGGGTGCATCTATTTATACCAGTTTCAGAGTTCAATTTCCTGTCCTTTCTACTGTGAGGGGAGGGGCTAACCCATGAGTAAAATGCTGCCATAAATAATGATCAAGAAAAGAACATTACGGTAAGTATGACACAATTTTCCTTATTAATTTACAAAATAAATATAGTATAAAAGAAAATACAGGACTATATAAAAGCAGTATGTAAGACAATTTAGGTAAGTGTACAATACCACATGTACAAAGAATAGTCCTTTCCATTAGGCAAATGCATTTCAACTGTTACTGTCTTCCTCAGTGCCAAAAAGATCTATGAGTCCTCTTGTAAAACGTCCCTTATTAATACCTCATTTAGGATAATTGATGGGTTTTAGATGTTGACTAGATGTTTTCGATCATTGCCGACATTGGCGAGCCTCACTGCCGGTGCTTATTTGTGTCGTCACCTTTCCTGCATCAATAATAGTCTCTGATAATGTGCGTGGGTAGTCTGGATTTCCTATCGTATAAGGGCAAAGTGCCCTTACTGCAGAAGTCCATAATGTTTGATGTATATATTACTTTGGGACTCCCATGTCCTCATTGAACGCTCAATACAAGTCTTTATGCATCATAATGATTTAGTCTTAGAGTTGTTTTAAACTCTTAAACCACTCTAACCTTATAGGGAGAAAAAACACAAATTAGGGTCATACATAATATACATAATGGTATATTGAGTAAAACTGTATAAAAACCATATTACCTATAAAAAATATATACTATATTTGTTTTTGGGGCCATTTCAGTATACTATGAAATAGCAAGTGAGTATACTTATCACAATAATAATAAAAGTCGGTAGAGGTGTGCCGAAACCGACGTGTGTGGTAGGCCTGTAAATAAGTGGTTAAAACAGGAATACCCATATAGTGTTATCAAAGATATTATTACGAAAACACAAGACGTGGAGTTAGTTTATTACGATGACATATCACAAATGCCTTCCTTAATTCCTGTGTCGGCTGAGGTATGCATTGTAGGTGTGGTAGTACTGCATAAGTGCCTCGTGACCCCTCTGGCTGGTCTTAGTTGACGGTAAGCTTAATACATAGTGATCCTATATTTGTACAGGTTGGAATACCGTAGGCAAAGCTTGGAATCGTGTTGCCCTGTGATGGTAAATTCTCTGGGGCATAGGAAACCATAAAAGCCAAGTAGGTGTTTAGAATGGTGTTTGTAGCTGAAAACATGTGGTGTTGAATACCTGGGAGATATAACTTAATAGTGTTGTGTGACATTTAAATCTGATGTGGCAAAAACAATTGGCAAAATGTTGAATTCTTGCACCAGTTTGTAGGGTGGTGATCTGACATGAACTTTGCTATATGCAGTAAGCTCTGTCATAGCAGTGTGCGTATTCTTTGAGGGCCATCTGTGTGAATTCTTGCTGTGACTTAAAAACTCTTCTATTTCATAGGCAATTCTTGGAGTTGGGGTGTGATCGTGGCTATTGGTGAGGTAGTTGTAAGGGACTTCATGAATGCCTAAACTGAAGACTAGATAACTGGTCAGCAGTTGTATGTAAATGCCTGGTACGTGGTAACATACCATATAAAATTGGTGACAGGCTTCCCTACGTTAGTCGTCTGATGAATTTATAATAATGGATACAAGACCGTACTTGTTTATGACGTGGCCAATTGACAACTTGTCAGAGACCTTGAACCGGTCTGCTTGCCCATGAATGACCCCATGTTGCTGCTGCGGCTATGATGGGATATTCCTTGAAGCGTGCAGAGTTCTTAAGGAACCCTTTGATCTGGCTTGTTTCCCGGCCACCTACACCATAGCCAACTGTCCCCTGAGATTGCAGCAAGCCTTGTGTAAGCCTTTGCATCGGGGTGACTACAGATGAAGATGACCCTAGTTAAAGACATATATCTCTATAGGGAAGAGATGCCTAAATATATTGTGCCTAGGTGATTTCCTGCTGGTTGTCCTTAAGCTAGAAGAACCTGAAATATGTATGAAGTATGTGGGACACTTCTAGTTTACCAGCGGGAACTAATATCGGAGAGCCCGTAAGTGTCTGTGACTGGAGTCGTACATGCCGAGAAAGGGCCGTATAGGGAGGATTTGAGTGGTCCAACGTGACTTTGGTTGTATGCAATTGCCCTCCCTTCCCCCCCCCCCCATGGGCCGAAATTGAGTCGTAGCGGATTGCTCGCGGTGGGTCGTATGTAACATGAGAGTGATGGCCTAGTGAGGGCCACGTGTAGAGGCATGCTGTGGTAGGTTGTGACAACTTGCAAACTTATGTCCAAATTGTAATTCCTATGTCGTATGTAATAGCCCAAATGAGGGGCTGCTATTATGTTGTAGTGGATAGCCCTTTGGTGGGTCGTATGCAACGTATAAAAGAGTGTGGTAGTGAAACAAAACTTGGTCGTGGTATTGTAGTAGATGATTTACTGCAAAACAATTAGTTTGAATGACTATCTGTTCCTGTCCAAATTAAAGATAATAAAGTTGCGTGCACGCAGAAGTAAATTCACACTGAGACACAGAGTTCAGGTTAATGAAAGAACTTCGGAGAAGTTTAATGGCTTCTGTTTAAAAAGCAGGCTCGCAGGCCCTTTTAAAGGCATTATTACATCATTGAAGAAAATCAAGATATAGACAAATAGACATTGTTAATTGGCTTAGGTGCTAAGTAGTTAGTAAAATGCCCTCCCTACGGGGTGTACCATCTTAGGTCACTATCCTCGTCATGATTGTCTCCTCCAGGTTTTAGCGCCATTTTGTTAACATGAGGAGCTCACTCGACGGGAGGGGCCTTTTGGCAGCTATCCATTTAGAGTGTAGCCTGGCACTGTTAGTTTCTCAAGGTTAGGTTTCAAGGCTTTTAGTAAATACACATTTTATCAAAGCTATTTCTTGCTGACATGCAAATTCTATGTTCTATAGACAAAGCTTTCTTGTAAAACTATGGGACCTCTTAGAGGTATAGCAAGAGGATTTAAAGGGGCCTTACAGACTTATAGAGGCCTAATAATTCTACAACAGTCCCCCCTTAAAATGTTATTTGCTAAAAGACAAAACTTCATTTGTTAGTATCAGAAGATGTGTTAGCCCAAAGACACAGAAACCCCATGACCGCTGACTTAGTGTTAATGCAAAGTGCAAGTCTATCCCTCTCTTGACCCTAACAGGCTGCAGCACATCCGTCAGTACGGTTCAGGAACACTCTTCACTCCGCTGGTAACCCATAGTGGCTTATCCACTACTTCTCCGTACGGCAGTCTACCCATAAAGACGGACGCTGTCCCTGTACTGTCCCTTCCTGGACTTTCTGCACTTCATCAGTATAAGGGAGAGTTTGTAGCGGAATACAGGGTGAGGTGAGATCTTGATCATCGATTGTCAGATGAGTGAGAGTTAGTGTCGCTTGGTCTGTAGTCTTCTGTAAGAATTTTCTAAAGCATGGGAGGACACAACAAACGAGAAGAGCGAGAACAAAAAGGAAAATTAGTACAGCCATACCATTATGGACTAAAGCTTTCTGCCAACTTGACATCCAACCAAACCACCTTTCCCAGGGATCTGTTACCCCAGAATTCCTTTTCAACTCTTCTGAGAGTTTCTCTAACTTCGCTATGGCCATAGTGACTTTACCATTTGGACCTGTGTTTTCTGGGATATAAGTGCAACAAGTCATGGTGTCAGGTAGTATTTTACATACACCCCCTTTTCAGCTAGAATCATGTCTAAGGCCATTCTGTTCTGGAAGGTCATCTGGGATGTGGCCTGCAACTGCTCGGCCAGGCCCTGGAGGGCATCCCTGGTGTAGTTGACAAAACGCTGTTGGTTGTAATAAATGTAGTTAATCCAATTAAGGTTTTTGTTGGCAGTGACTATGGTAAAAAGTGATTCAAAACCTACAGCTACTTCATCTCTAGCTTTAAATTCATTAGGCACCCCCCTAGGTACCCCAATGGCATCTATGTAAATGTGGGGGTCAAAACTGCCTTTTACTGGGGTTTCACGCTTAATCCTAGCTAACGTCTGTGGGGAATCGTGGGTGCCGGGATGATTGTCAGAAATAATGTGGATGGGCATAATAACCTTGGCCAAGGTACACTCCCCCCACCAGTCAGTCTCCAGTCTGGATCTTAACTGCAAGTCCCCACATAGCCAGTAAATGTCTCCTAGTGACCTGGTGTGATGTTGCAACAGACGTATGGGGACAGTTCTGTAAGTGGCACAATAACCTTTAGAAAAATTACCCATGAATTTACCAATCCCGTCATACATGGCATAACAAGTGTAATTACCTCTATAGACTGTGATTCCATCTGGTGGCTTAACATTTTCAACTAAGAGAGGGTATTCTGCCGTCCATGCCATGCAGAGGGACCTATTAAAGTCATATTGGTAGGCAAAAAGGCTTAAGAAGCAATCTTCTATCTCTAAAGGGAGAGTTAGGGGGACGGTGCCAAGGTGGGGTCGGGCACCGCCACATACATAACATGCTGTTTTATTATGTTTGTTGGCATTATACCTCATCCATTCTAACCACAAATTAATGTCATTGAATCCAGTTTCAGCGGCCATGGTATCTTCAAAAGTGGGGTTAGTGATGGCCATCATATCTTTAAAGGACTGGATATGTGGTTTTAGCGGATTTGGGACCATATGATCAGTCCCTTGCCACTCTGGAGAGTGGTACATATCTCTGAGGTAGAAATGACCTAATTTGTTGTAGGAACCTTTCTTCCAATACATTCCCATTACATATCGGTCTGCATCCTCGGGGCCAGGATGTTCAATATTTAACATTAATTTCATAGGGGTACTTCCTCCAGGCTTTCTTAAAGTCATTCTTTGAAGGAGGGATCTACCCTGATTGTCTATCTTAGATAAAGCACTTTTGGGTTTATAACCCCAGGCAGGCCCAGTATTCCATCCCGCAGCCCCCCAGTAGTTACAGTCATAACCCCATTGTTCATCTACTACACAAACGTAAGGGTCTTTTGCTTGTGGTATATCTTTATAAATGGCTTGAATCTGTGACTTAGGGAATGGGCATTCTACAATATCACAGTAATCAAAGGTGAATGTAGCCACGTGGGTACATGATGAATTATACCAGAAAGTGTACCCACTAGCATCCTTGGTGATGGCCTCCTGCTGGGCTTTAAGGAGGCCAACTAAGGAGATAATGTACCAGAGGCACATGGTTGCATAGAGTTAGCTTCCTCTGGGGCAGGTGTCTTCTTGCAATGGGAAGCGTGGATCCAGTTAGGCCTTCCGGCCAATTTGACAGAGGTAGGGGAGGTCAGGAGAACTTGGAACGGTCCGTCAAATCTTGGTTCCAGGGTGTGTTTTCGCACAAATTTCTTGACCAGAACCCAGTCACCGGGGAGCAGACTGTGGTTGCCTGTGTCAGAATCAGGATCTGGAATTGAAGAGAAAACTTGGGCATGGATTTTGTTCAAAGCATTGGCAAGTTCAGTTACATAGTTTACTAAAACATCAGTATGAAGTTGTAATTGCTGGGGAAAATAGCAACCTAGCCTGGGTGCTGACCCGAATAGAATCTCGTAAGGGGACAATGAGGGCTTCCCTCTGGGTGTATGTCTGACACTAAACAGGGCTATTGGCAAGCTTTCGGGCCAGGGCATTTTTGTTTCTTGCGACATTTTTAGCATTCTAGTTTTCAGGGTGCCATTCATACGCTCCACCTTGCCACTGCTTTGTGGGTGATAAGGTGTGTGGGAGGCAAGGGTCACTCCTAGGGCGTCCCAAATCTCTTTGGTTACTGATGCTGTGAAAGCTGGGCCTTGGTCACTTTCAATGACTTCTGGCAATCCAAATCTACATACAATTTCTGTAAGTAGCCGTCTTGCTGTTGTTTTTGCGGTGATGTTAACCACTGGGTAGGCTTCTGGCCAGCCTGAGAACATGTCCACTATTACTAGTGCATATTCGAAGTTGCCACTCTTTGGCATCTGGATGTGGTCTATCTGAATTCTTTGAAACGGGTACATGGTCTTGGCCAAGTGTTTTGGAGGGACTTTAGCCATTTTCCCCGGATTGCACTTGGCGCAGATGACACACGTCTTGCAGTAATTGCTGGCTAGCGTGGTAATTCCAGGGGCCTCATAGTACTTCTGTACAAGGGCAATCATCAAATCTTTTGATAAGTGTGCAGGGCCATGTGCCCACTGAACAACTGCTGGGTATAGATTCTTAGGAAGGCAGAATCTGAGATTGTTGTAATACACTCCATCTCTTAGAACTGCCCCTTTCTGTTTCCACTTCTGTATTTCTTCAGGGGCAACTGTAGCCTGTTGTTCCCGTAGGATTTTCAGGTCAGTTGGAAGAGTCTGCAGAGTAAATATGGGAGTTTCTTCATTTCCGGACACTCTTCTTTCCACTTCCTGTGGTTCTCTTGCAGCTTGGTTTGCAGCCTGATCAGCTAGATGGTTGTCCTTTGCTTCATCTGAGTCCAACTTCCCATGTGCTTTTATCTTCAAAATAGCCCTCCTTCTGGGAGTAGGAGGGCGTCCATCAGCTCCTTGATTGCGGAACCGTGCTTGATTGGTGTACCGGCGGTGGTAAGAAATCCTCTTGTTTTCCAAATTAATCCGAAGTCGTGAGCCACGCCCAGTGCATATCTTGAATCCGTGTAGATATTGGCGCGCTTTCCTTCAGAGATCTTGCATGCTGAAGTCAGGGCTTGCAATTCAGCTTCTTGTGCAGACATAGTTGATGGTAAAGATGATGATTTGACAATTTCATCTGTTGTGGTTACGGCATATCCTGTATGGTATCTTCCTTCTTCATCAGCATATCTTGAGCCGTCCACAAACAGGGTGAGATCGGGATCTACCAATGGGTCTTCATGCACAGTTGGTAGATGTGTTGTTTCCATTTTCATCTGTTCAAAACAGTCATGAGGTGTATTTGGGTCGTAGTCATTCACTATGGTTAAATCTTGGAACTCATTTTCCAGGAAATGACGTGGCCATGCTTCTAGGTGGTCAGTTGTTGGATATTTGACAACACCATTTTCCTGTAGCTGTGATTCGTCCATAGTGGCCCATGCTTTTGCCATAGGCCCAAGATCATTCCATGATATTGTTTTCAACTTGGTCACAGGGACATGTGGAATGGCAGTGTCCCAATGACGGTACAAATACTTGAGTTCCGGAGGTAGATGAATCAGGACCATACTGTTGCCTTCAGAATCACAGTAGAAGTCTTGTGCAGTGAGTTTTACTTCGACCAGATGATAGAGTTCATCTTCATAGCAGGGTTCAGGAGTGATGTTTGGTTTGTACCACATGGTACAGAAGGCATATCCTGCTCCGTCATGAAGGAGTGCTTGTCCATCATGAAAGGATAGGTTGGGATGCATTTCCTTCTTGATGGTGCCAGTGAGAAGAAAAACATAAGTTTCGTCCATGATGAATCCGTAGTATACACCCCCCTCAGGGAGTGGCAGAAGAGTGGACGGATTGAGAACTTGACATCTTTGAAGGGTAATGTTGTCAGGCAACAAAAGATGACATTGAAGGCGAAGATGCCTAGCAGGAGTAACATGCTTAAGTTGGACCTGGTTGACTATGGCAGAAATGTCATGAGGGGCCAAGACAACCAGGGGGTGGCCAAGGACAAGATCTCCAGTTCTTTCAATGAGCTCTTTGGGTGCAGCGGCCTCCAGGACCATGGGCCTGAGTGAGTACTCCTGTTGCTTGGCCTTGTCTTTCAGAAACAAACAATTTGAAGGGTTTGGTATAGTCTGGTAGGCCAAGAGCAGGAGCAGAAGCAATAGCACGTTTAAGAGTACAGAAGTTGTCAAGGGCTTCTGTGGACAAGCAAAATGGGTCTGACTTGAGAGCATCATAGAGAGGTTGCATAAGGAGTGAGGCTTCTGGGATCCATGCTCGGCAATAGAAAATGAGGCCTAGAAAGGCGTGGAGGGATTTAGGAGTTTTTGGAGGCGGAATGGCCAGAACCACTCCGACACGATCACGGGTGAGGTGTCTGGTGCCATGGGACAGGCAATGGCCTAGAAAGATTACTGTGGCCTGGCAAAATTGAAGTTTGACAAGAGATGCCTTACACCCTTGATCTGCAAGATAACAAAGGAGGTCCAGAGAACATTTTCCTGTCGTGGGGATGTCATCTCCAAGTAAAATGGGAAGGGAACAAAGAACTGTAGTGTCTTTTCGTGACAAAGGTGTATTTAAGTGAACCTGGCCGTCTGCAGTGAGGGTGATGGATGCTTGGAGGCGGGATAGGACATCAGCACCAACACAAGAGACATCGGTATCAGACAGGAACGATGAGTCAGGCAGGTCTTGTTCTCTAAGAACACTGCGGGCTGCACCTGTGTCAACCAGGAAAGTAGTAGGGTGACCTTCAATAGGTAAAGTTACAGTGGCTAGTGGCCCCCCTTGTTCCCTGTAGACACTGCCATGGCAGGGGCATTAAGCATCAGTGGGTTCTATCATTATAAATAATGGTTAATAGTAAGTGAAGTAAAGTTCCTATATGTCTTTGGGTAAAACATTAACTATTGCGGTACTATCATTTATATTAGTTAGACCATAACAATTATACCACCCTGTAACTAAAATGAATAACCAGTAGTGGCTGGGTTAATAAAACATGTCACAAACCCTTCTAATGCTAAACCATCATTTAAAGTAAAGGATGTCACTGTAAACCTACGATCTGTAACTAGCAAGATTCGATTAAGTAAAGATACAATGTTTAAAATAACTTGCATTATTTGGCTATTTCCCTTGTTGCAAGATTAATCTGGATAATCAGCTGTTATGCTCTTATATTCGTGTCCAACAGATCTCATTTGTAGGTCACACCACATTTGCAAATTACATTTTAGCAACCTTTTTGTTTTTTTTGTTTTTTATCACGGACACATTTCTGATACAGGGAAACAAATGGCATGATTGTTTTAGTAATTATAATGTTTCTGTTCATAATATGTAGAGTGTAAGGAAAACAACATGTCTCTAAATAGGACGAGCATAATAGGGGTAGGCCTCATGATGGAGGCAGCCATGACAGGGGCGGGGAAGGAAATGACAGCAAGGGAGGAAGTGAGGTGACGTCCATGATAGGTGTGGGAAAGGAAGACAGGAGGTGTGGGCATGG